ACACAGAAATCAGATCATCCCCTAGCAAAGGGACAACAAAGTAATGTGGCATAAATTGCTATCCACACCGTTTACTTGGTAGGCTCAAAATGAAGCATAAAGCAACGTGGATAGAAACAATGAAGATGGGTTCAGATTTGCAACAATAAAGGCAATATCCCATTATCAGAATTGCTCAAATGGCACTCCGATGAATGAACGCTGTATGATAAAAAGAGGCAACTTTGTCGATAAATGAGGACTCAAGCATCAATTGTGAGAACCTCGGAGCGAGCATTTCGCACGGGAGAATTAGCTGAAAAATTAGGCGGAAAAAGCCAAGATTTGGTTGATAATGCGACGAAACGATGATGAGACGCAAAGTCAAGGGCTGAGCTCGAAACGAATCTAATCCATCAGCAAAGCCAGGGAAATCCCAAATGAAATGATAGAAGAATGCCTGTGCTGGGTAAAGACTAAATGCTTGACTCTCGAAGATGGCTTAAAGAGATCATATCGCCCCGATGGGAAATAGAGCGGCTGAGGCAAAACCTTATCAACGCTGGTTAACTACACCAATTTAATGGACAAACAAATCGCTATCCATAAATGAGGCTTTTTACTGAATTTTTGTTTTATCCGGCAAACATCTTCAAAACTAGGGCCGAATCCAAGGCATGAAGGAGAATATTGCGGAAAGAAAACGCAGCAAGGATGCTGCCGGTCGAGCATTTTGGGCATTGCTTTCTGCCCCGGGGCGAACTGCTCAGTCGAGCTGGTCTCGCTTCTGACGGAGGCCAGGCCGGAGCTGAACTCGAGTTAGCCGTCTCCGGAGGGAAACCGGTCACCCACCGGACCAATAGGGACCCAGACACTGCATCAACTTGGCTTTAAACGCAGCTCAGGTCTACTCCAGCTTACTCGCCCAATTGGGGTGCAGTCAGGGGAGAACTTTTCGTCTGCCATTTTGGTTGCTACTTTGGTTGGAAGTGAGTAGTCGATGGTTGTTTTTTGCACAGATGCGTGAGTGGTGTTCAAGAGCAGTTTGCTGTCATCAGAACCGTCAGCTTTTCGCTGTAACCTAGACAGCCCACTACGATTCCGAAGAAGGCAGTCTCAACTTTCTTACGTTGCTTGAAGTAGCGTCAGAAGAGCAACAAAAGAGTTTTTAGGAATACAAGTTGGCCGTCTAAAGAGCGATTCAATCTCTGCCAATCCTCACAAGAGCCAATTGATGTACCGTCAAGTTACCAAATCGGCTCGACACTGTCTGCAATATTCTTTCTTCGTGCTCATTTACACAATTCTAGTCAACAAAGCGTCAATTATTTGCAATGTGGTTTGGGTTAAGATATTTCAATTCACCAGCCAAACGCCACATAAAAGGGAAAAGGTCAAAAATCTAGTGTCACAACCAAAAGAGTTAAGCTCATTCTTGTCACTAAGTCAACCTCGGGCACTTGCTTCAATAGGCAGTGTATGTAGGCCAACCCTCAGTCTCTGTGGTTGACTGACTCGTTAGCTTGAATATGGTTGTAGAGATGATGATGCTCCAATAAAGCCAATCGACAGCTAATCAGGAGGAATCCGTCGTCGTCGTCGTCGTCGTCGTCTTCTGGTGGGATGGACCTTTGAATCTCTTCCCCAAACACTTTCACTCGAAATGGAAGTAAGCTCAACAATTATGAAACAAGAGATTCCTCGAAACCCAACTTTTCTTCAGCATATCTATGGTACTAGTCGATCAATGATGTGTTCACCCTCATAAATGTCATCATAAAAGTATCCTTATTTAGACAGTGGTTCAATCTCTCTTCTCATTACAAAACGATGAAAAGTAGAACTGGCCAAAAAAAATTGTCAAGAGACATATAAAAACAAATATTGCATAACCCATATACTTAACTTCGAAACATATATACTCACGACTTGGTCCGTCATGAAAGCAAATGCAAGTTAGATCAGGTCACTTAAAGTGACAAAAGGACTTGTAGTTGAGTTTAACCGTTGAAAATTACTGACGGTTTCGCAAACTACTCATATCAAAAATAAATTTGCCTCCTCGGAGCTCCCGGCATAAATGTGACTTGGGAGGGGCCTGGCTCGTCTTAAAAATCACACCTGACATGCGATCCACAGGAGATTTTGTGTGCGTGTGTGTGTTTTTAATCTCTTCTAGGGTGCTGGTGAGGTGAAGTGGAAAATGGAGCCCAGTCCAGACTGGATGAGAAAAGCTTAGGGAGACGCACTACGTGAACTTCATCTGCATCGTGAAGCCAACTCACTTTAATGTAGAACACTCAATGGCTATGAATAATAGCTAGATGAGGCTAAAAGGAGAAAATCCACAAAGTTTCACCTTCCACCGTCTATGAAGCCATCTGGTTGGTGCTTCATTAGCAAACTCAAGATCAGATCAAGGCACAACTGAAGGTGAAGAGCATGCGCCCAATTGGCTTTTGGCCAGAATGAGTGGTTTAGTCCAAAACTGTTGAGCCTACTTCCATTTCGAGTGAAAGTCGGTTGCACCAGAAGACGACAGCGGATTCCTCTTGACCAGCTGTCGATTGGCTTTACTGGAACATTCTTGCTGACGCTGTTTCCGAGGCAATCTCTTTCGATTCCGGTGAAAAGGTGCTAAGCTTTCATTCGTCATATGACGGACATCATCAGAGCGAGGTAACATCGTCACAACAAAATTCAAGCTAACGAGTCAAG